AGATTATTGTTGATTAAAATGAAAATTACAGAAGAATCGACAATAATTTAACACACATAAAGTATGAAACTTCCTTTAATAATAGCATTAGGCACAGGGAACTGTTTTTTTTTTTAGGATCTGAATTTTCAGCTTCTACTTTTTATCTCCTTTTGCAAATCAGCTCAACACTTTTTCCGCTATCATTTTCGTAATTCTCGCTGAAATTGCAGTTTTTTTTTTAATATAGTGTAGGACCTACACACGCTTGTGTTTTTCTTCTACCCGCGACCCCCGTGTAAGACTTCGCGACCTCCCTGGGGGTCGCGACCCATAGGTTGAAAAACACTGTCCTAATAGAATAACGAACCATTCTAAGGCTGTTATCTGTCATGATGACTGCAATTACTTGTGAAAACTTGCCTTCTTATATCATCTATAAAACCAAAGGACTCTTTCAATAGTGGTTCCGAGGGAGCAATTTACAATCGGACTCCATCTGGATGGTTAGATAAAATATCCTTTGAAGATTATTTTATAAAATTTATAGTGCTTACAGTAAGACAAAAGTAGGCAGATTTTGTTGTTATATGTGAGAATTTTTTCCTCGTATTACAAACTCACGACTGAAATATTTCCTACAACAGCAATACCATTTCTAGGAATGATTATAATGTTATTTACTTGAGGTTTTTCAAAGAATGTGTCCGAAGCTTTTATTCAGCAATTGACCAATTCACAAAACGAATTGGAACCAGTTAATAGTTTTCAAGACAAAATTCCCACTTTATCCAATCAAAATACTGTACATAAGTGATTCCTCATTGTAGTAAATTTCCTACTGAAAAATCCTCCATTTTCACTATTCTGAAGCTATCGAACTATACATATATTTGTTATTTTCACATATAATATTAGGTCTAATCATCTTGTAGAAGTGAATTAACTTACTTTCACGTGATTCACTCGATTGACAATTCCAAATTTGCATAGTTAAATGGTCTAATCTTCTTTCTCTCTTTTTTTTTTTAAATTATAATTTGTGAATAATTCACTTTATTGATTCAAAGATAAACTTAATTATATGTGGAGAAATTTTCTTAATTTAAATGAAATCAAACATAACTGGAGTGTTTAATATTACGCTGTAATATGCAAATAAGTTTTAGATGAGTACATTTCGTGGACAATGGATCATTCGATCGATTTTTTGGTGTTTTTTCAACCTCTGCAATTGTTATTTTTCGTATTCTGCACGAATTTGGTGTATTGTATTTCGTACATTTTAGCAAAAAAAAAGTATATTATAAAGTACTTAAATTTTGAATGAAAATACAAAGTGTGGGCGTAACAAAACGAATTGTGTTATGTTGGTATACGGACGAATAAGTGGAAAATGCATTCATTCAACGTGGAACGTCAAGAAAACTAAATTTCTACTTTTCTGAATCGGAAGCGAGAAGACATTTTTAATGTAAAATAAGTTTTATGATCACTTAAACTGGTTGTTTAATAATGGAAGCCAATGAAACGACTTTTAACGAAAGTAAGTTATATGGGCATTCTTTTAAAATTTTAATCAAGTGTTAATGGTAAGATTCAAGCTCCGAATGAGGGGTTTTTCGAACCCCATTGTAAGAGCAGAAACCTCGCGAAGGGTCGCTTGTAGAGGTATGGTTCCTTTGACTATTTTGTTCTTAAAGGTATGCTTTACCGCTCCGATAAGGTCCCAAACGTCTTATTCAGAGCTTGAATTGAGCATTTAACGTCTTTACGAAACTTTTATCATGATTTTTCATTTATTACTACTCGATTCCAGGACCATCGAGAGCTTGTAAGGGACCTGGAAGTAGAGGGGGCCATTTTTTTTCTTTGAGACATACGTAGAATGCTTGTTTGTTAATTAAAAGCAGTTTAAAATATTTCACTTTTTGTTTCTAAAAAGAATAATAACTTTTATACAGGTATGAACCAGTAAGTGTCCGGGAAAATTCCCCATCTCCTTGTAAGGTTAAATCTTTATCATCAGCTCCAATTTCTCCCTTTTTGGTGATGATTTAGGGAAAGATCCGGATTTGGTTCAATTCCAAGGCCTCGAGAGAAGGTGAGCACGATAAAAATTTAGGGGGTTCCCCGTAGTAATTCCTATTCGTATAAATTAAATGCTGTTTTTATTAATAAAGAAACATTCTACGTACAGTACAGTACATTTATTTGAAGCAGCAGTGGAAAAGAGTCCACGCTTTACTTCCGGGCCCCATACAAGCTCTGTAAATTCCCGTAGAAAACGCTATAACATAATATAAAACATTTTTCTTGCATTCCAATTATCTACTTGAGTTATTGTGTGTGTTTCTACACGTTTAACTTCAAAATTCGCGCCCACAGCTTCAAATAACAGCCACGTAATTACGTCAAATTTATATTAAATTTTAATAAATTTAAAAAGAAACAAATTAACAATTTAAAAAACAATTTATTTTCATCACTTGACATACAGAATTCGTTTAAAATAATTTAAAAAAAAAGTTTCTCAACCCAAGCGAGGACGGGAAAAAAACAGTAACAAATATGGCACCTCTAACACTGAACTAAACCAAATAAATCGGAGAATAAAAGTTATAAAAATATGTTTAAAAAATACACAATAGATTTATCTTATATATATATACATTAGCCATTAGAAAAAAAAAAAAAATATATTTTAACATAGTGAATGTTTGCACTTTATGTAGGAACTGATGATGATGATTTTTCATTTTACAAGAAGAAATTACATTAAATGATAAAGAAATTTTGGATAAAATATTAATACAATGCCCCAAAGACTAGTATATATATTTATACACACACATATATATTTCTAATAGAATTTATGGCACAATTTATCTGCAAAGTGTGTAGTTTCAATTAACCAAAAAAGAATTATCAGAATATTCACACGTTTCGATAGAATTTCTAATGTTAGAGAATGAAAAATGAGATCTGGAATTGGCAAACTTTTCATTAATCAGCTTTCAGACTGATAAAATTCGGTTTATCTTCTTCTTCTTCTTTCGAGTATATTAAAACACTACGCGATCAGAAACTCAATCACTTATTAGTATTTTATCAAAAGGATTGGGTCCTCTTCGTTTGATAGCTCCGTTATCATCTATATGTATATAAAAAATAAAATAAATTACTGTTTTTTTCTTAATTTATCAAGTGTAAATAATTCACTTACTCCTAATGATACCCGTGCACGTCATCCATTCTTCCATGGTTATTTTATTATTATTATTTATATCGCAGAATCTAGGGAAATTCCTCCAACACTTGCGAAGTTTCCTTAATTTTCTCCTCCTCTTGTTGTTTTTTAAGAAGTTTTTCCATTGGTGGCGAAATTCTAACCACTCTCTTTTATCCAATAACTGTAAAGATAGCATTTTTTTTTTTTTTTTTAATCAGCAGGCCAACCCAAAAGTCCGTTAACCGTATTTAAAAATTAAATTTGTGTCTTATTAAGATATTTTATCACTTAATCGATCCATACAACACTTCAATAGCTTGTTGTAGCCATTTCAAATATGGTGACAGTTAACTGACTTTTAGGCCACCCTGTGTATTATTGTAAAATACTATAAAAAAAAAATGGACGCCACCACTTCCCGGTGTCGCCATCTGATGGCGAGGGACATAAGTATTTCGGGTAATACTTATAAAGGGGGAGTTAAAGAATCAATTGTCTAAAAATAGAAAGTAAAATTTACCTGATTTTGATTATTGTCCAGATAACGAAATTTCCACTTCACTATTTCTTCCACTTTCTTACTAACCGAAATTGAACTTTAAAAATAAATAATAACAATAATAAATTTATTAAACTAACCATAAAAACAAAGAAAAATCGTATTTAAAGACGTTAATTTAGTCTGTTCCCCACTCTCCTTTGAAAGGTAAAAAGGAAAGAATTTTTCAAATGCAAACGTAAGCTGACATTCGGTAATTTTCTAATAATAATAATAATAATTTATAGAAGACAACGAATATTTTACGAGAGCAGATGTGATTCTTCATTATGCAAGAGAGGGGGGAGGAAAGAAAAAAGGGAGAGCGGAGGAGAGAGAGAGAGAGAGAGAGATGAAAGTGGAGAAACCAACCCTCGAGGTATCTAATTACAAGATAACTCGGATGCCATTAAAGTTGATATACTTTCTAAGAAAATATTTCTGCTGATAAGATGAATAGCCATTATGCCAGTGAGCAATATTATAAGTATCCACGCTAAGTTTTGGAATAATAGGTGAGGAAAAAACAATTAATTTCGTACGAAATTCGTCATAGAATAGCTCAAGAAATGCCCATAAAACTCACTCTCAACCCTTAAATATTCGGTTTCCGATGGCTCGAATTGGGCACGGATTATTTGTAAAATTTTTAGGAAAGGTCGGAAGGTCGTTCAACCTTTTAATAACNCATACCGTCGAGGTAAAAAAAAGTAAAATAAAATGGCCTGTAGATTTTAGTACATGTATCATTTATGATCAAGATTAATTAAAGACGATGTACATCTCTATTTCGATCGCATGTTAAATTTTTTTTCTTTTCTTTAGGAAGAGTTCATACAACTGTAATTATAACTGTACGTGACAATTCTGCGAGAAGTTACGCCACCGTAACCGATAAGAATATTGTATTTCTGAATTCCACACCATTTTCTCAATGCCGTTTAACGTGTCGGTGGCATTGAGAGAGACGAAATTGCATGCAATTTCACGCGAAATTTCGAAAAGAAAGGAAATTACCCCTCGCACGTTCTGATAATTTTAGTAAACACCCCGTTTTTCACTCGACAATAACTATAAAATGATAATTTGAACTATTCCGAGGGACGTTTTATTGCCAGTTATTTATCAGTTTACAACACGACGTTAAGAATAGTTTTAAGCGAGAGTGGACGTGTTCGAAATAATAATAATAATGCTAGTATTATTTTTTAAAATATTTTTCCTTGAAAAAATATAAAAATTTACAATCCTTCACGACTTTTAATACGGGCCACAATCTGTCACCACGATTTGACCTTGGGCAAGGTTACGTTTTGACCTTTTGTCGTTAATTTCTGAATTCGTTTATGATTTTTGACCGTTCTCCCTCCCCCTCTCACCTGAACACTTTCCGCGATGTTTGAATTCGACAGGATGACCTTCGCACTTTGCTCGATTGATTTCACATTTGGAGTCGTACGTCCGTCCGTCTGTTCCACACACTTGTCTCTGTACATCGCCGCTACAGTCTATCTGACATTCCGCTTTACGATCCGAAGAAAGGAGTGGAAACTGTCGACAAAATAAAACTTGCGATCATTCTATTACTTTTTAAAAAATCATACGTTTAATGTAGTAAATTTATCAATGAAAGAAAAACGAAAGCGGCGCGCGCGCGACGACGTACAGTACTTTCGCTTTCTATAAGCTCGCGCTTGTTCATTCATAGATTTCATTTTCGCCGTATTTTTTTTAATGAATTAATGTTAATTTCGTACTATATTGATTTTTTTCTTTTTTTTCCTTCTTTAATTCTGTAGGATTTTTGTAACTGCCACACACGAAATCTTCCTCGCTCCTCGACGTTATCAAATCTCGAAGAGAAAATTCACGGAAAACAGGAAGTGTGGCGGAGAATGAGGGATCGATTTCTGTTACCATGGCAACGACCTACAGGAAGGTCAAGCTATAAGCTTACTTCAAGGTCAACAGTTGGGTAATGAACTTGTTCGTGTTGATAATGAGATATTACAAATGTTTCTTTTTTTTTCCTTTTAACTTGTCAATCTATTCAATTTAAGTTAATAAGTGGATTAAATATATAACAGAGAAAAATTAATTCTCTATTATATATTAAAAAAAAGTTCTAGAATTTATTAAATATAGGTCTATATAAAGATCGAAACTTGATCTTTATTCTCGAGATTTTAATCTAGAAATGAAACTAACGCGGAAATACAACTAAAAATATAGCTTTTAAGAGGGTATATATATATTTTTTTTGTAAGATTTCTAACAAAGATTCATTATATATAAATTTAAAATTAATTTCTTATCAGTGGATATGAATATTTCATTATTTATTCGCGAATGTCAGTGGAAATTGCATGTGTTTACTGCTTTCTTTTCTTTTTAAATTTTAAATCGGTCGAAATATTGTGAAAGTAAGTCTCAGTCGATATATAGATATTGCTTAAAGCAATAAATAAACGTTATATAAGATGTGGTGTACTATTCGATAGTGTTTTGAATTCTTTCTTGGATCAATAAATAATAAAATATCATCCTTTGTAACCTTGAACATCCAGCAAAATCGGCATTTTTTTATTATTATTTTTAGCTTTTGAAGTTGGAAATTGCAAAAGTTAAGTGCTGAGGTTCTTTTTTTTTATGTTTAGTACTTAAAAATTTGTAAAAATTTATATTGAATTTATGCAATTAACTGTAGCGAATTGAGAGATTTATCAGCCTTCTACATTGAAAAATACGTGATTTTTAGGAGGGAAAAGCATATTTTTTCCTTTTTAATATTTATTTTCACGTTAGTTTCTGAAGTTCTTCTCTGGATTAAATGGTGTTTACTATTTTACTACTAATCAGGTAATTCAGGTAATAAAGCAGTTACGAAGAAGACATTTGATAGCACGAATATCGCTGATTAATTACCCAAAGTTAAACGAAATATTTGACCGCCAGATTAGCTTATTGATGATCACTTTTCGTCCTTACATTCGGTGATTTTTCGCCGTCCTTATTGATGCCATACCGAAAAGAACTTCGAAGATATCTCCCTAGGGTATAAAAATTATCATCCCCTCAAAGTAGGACTATTCAGAACACCTTGAAATTACCTGAATCCGGCGCCACGATTTTATCATTCTCACTGGGGCCTACGACTTTTTTTTTTTTTTAATCTTAATCCCAGTATAGGGAATTTTACGTTGTAGTAAAACCTAGCTTTATTTTAAGCGAAAAACCTGTTTTAAAAATAAAATTTTGAAAGATTTATGACCTATTAAATTACAAATTTTGATACTTTTTTTTGGTGTAGATTATGCTAACACAGCATTAAAGATAGAATTTTATGTAGTTTACTTATGAAATATTTAATTTTTTGACGAATTAACTGTGAAAATTTCCCCTTACGACGGCTTTATTCTAAAATAAATCTTAATATTTTCACGTATAATGAGACCAAAGAATGATAAAGATCATTAAAATTTACACGAAATTCCGAATACAGATGTATTGTTAAAGTGTCTGTAACATAAATCCATAGAATGGTGGCATATTTTCGGGCTTTATTGTTTCGAAACAATCGTTTACATTCGATAGCGGAGGAGAAAAAAAATCCCGAAAGGATACAACCCAGAAGTGTCTCTCTCCTACAGAATAAACTTCATACAATGGGCAAAAATGTACTGTACGTAGAGATTCCATAAAGCGAAAGAGATACCTTTTATTCTGTAAATAACTTGGACGGATTCCAGGAACGTATATCATCGATTATAAATGAATTACGCGTTCATCGACATTTTTAACAATCGGAAACATTCTTGGAGTTTCTTTCCCAGGCGGGGGAATCCCGACAATATTTGACACATTGTGATACTCGATGTTTCGCCCAGGTGTGCAGCATGGCCAACAATACCAGCCGGGAACACACCCTATACTACTTGTTCCCACGGGTATACGGAACGTCTTAACGTATAGTGTATATATATATACAGTTAGAGTGTGTGTAAAATATCGCCGCGATAATAATAAATCTTTGTCCCATCTTTCCGCCAGGTAAGGTAATTTCTCTGGCTATTTTTAAACACGTTCACACTTTCTCCCTTTCACTTTTTATGGTAGACCGTAAACAAAGAATGATTATGGTAAAGAATTTTTCGTACGAAACGGTTCCTATCCGACAACGACTTCCTTTATTTTCCACCCTAAGGGCTCCACCGTATCCAAACGAGAACCATATGATGCCTTACTCCCACCTCGAAAACTTTACTTTTAGACATTTTACACGTCGGAAATCACCCCAGTCTTCTATTATTATTATTATTATTTTTAATTATATCATTTTTAAAAGTGTAATATCAATAACTACTATCAAACAGGAACAAGTTAGTTAAGAGCATGGACAGAGATAACGGCAGAAAACTAGTTTTTAAATGTGTCAAAAGTAAGATAATTAATTAGAATCTTAGAAATAAGAAAAAAAAAAACAACGGTTAGACACAAAAATAATGCCACGTTTTTAAATTACAAATCTTTCTTTACTCGGCTTTCACTTTTTTCTGCAATTCCAAAATGAATGAACCGTATATAAAGTCTCTTTTTTTTTTCTTTTTAAATCGAGAGGAGTATCACTTGGCTCTCGTTATTTCTTCTTTTTTTCCCCTCCCTCCCTCTTTAATTTTTTTAATTCTAAAAAAAAAATTGACGATCGTGTCACCGAGACGTTTGTGTGTTGACAAACGGTTACTCGTTACTAGATTCGGTAAGACCATTATTAACGAGTTTGGCAAGATAATTGGCATTAGAAAAGAAGAAGCTTACCTGTCCGTTGGAGCACCTCAGACAAGCGACTGTGAGGAGATAAAACAAAGACCTCATGACCAGAGTTGCCCGGGGCATCTATTGTGCACGTGATGGTCTGAGTCGCACCACTCCCACGTCGGGTCTAGTCGGCTTGTGATGCTGAGTCCTGCGATCTCACTCCTGTTAGTCAGGCTATTGGTGGAACTCCGACAGGAGTGTATATATGTTCGATTTGGGTCAGTCGTCCGTCGCGAATAACCTATCAATGTGTGTTTCTGATGCCAGTCACTCCATCTGCAACTCTCACCTATGAGAATTTTTTTTCCTTCCTTTCTTTCTTTTTTTTTATTCATTCTATAATAAAACCTGTTTTATACCGCTTTTAATATTTTTAAAATGTTAGAGGGTAACGGAAAGAACGTAATTTTTACAAGTTTTTAAAGTGTTTATCTTCAGTTACGCATTTAAAAAAATAATAATGATGATGTTTAATTGTATGTAATTATTACACAATTTATTATTAATTATCTCTTGCGTAAAACAAAGATAAGATTTCTTCGGAGAGACTTAAATAATTGTTTTTTTTTTTTTAAATAGTTTTATCCACGTTTTTCTGTTTTTACTGCGGTGTCTTGTAGGCTTTTAAACAAGATACAGACTAGAAGAAGGCAACTTTATGTAATTGATACTACGAAAGAGCATGTAAAAACATTACATTTCTTTAATTTACAGAATAAAATTTCACGAAATAGACGGGAAAATCTCGAATTCTTACTTAAATCCTCCCGAAAAATGAATCTAATTCACGACCTACTTTACAAGTAAAGCGGATAAATTAAAAGTAATTCTTTTGTTTTCGAAACGGTTAAGGAAAATAAATGAAATAAACGAAAATAAGATAGGATAATCTCTTAAATTCTTTCAGAAAAATCTATTTAAATTAATAAAAGTTTGGAGTATTCAATTTAGAAACTAATTATAGAGTCTAATAAAGAAAGCGTCGTCCCTCTTTGGAAATCCTTCGGGCAATTCTTGATTTAAGATACGAGAGGCCCTTATGAGTCTACATTTGTTTAAAGATCATTTCTATACACGAATTTGAATCGGGTGAAGCCATGAAATCCATGAAAATATATCTTCCACAATGTAATTATTATAATTTATACCATTGTTTTTATTTTTAATCATTTAAGTAATTTTTTTTAAAATTATTTATTTAAATTCTCATCTAAAAAGTTGCTTTTAATTATCACATCTAAACTTACAAACCTAGTTTTTCTTTGTTTTTTTTTATGTATTGGTTACTATTGTCTTCCAACTGTCACAATTTGGTTACAGTTCTATAACAATGGGTAAATTTATATAGAATTTCTTACATATAAAAGCCTGAATAATTATTCTATAACAATAAATCACTTTTTGGACATTGAATGGAGCATAACTTATAACTCTTTTGACATTCTTCAAGTGTTATAACACTAGAAAAATTGAAGAAAAATCTAGCTTGATCAATGCTTATTGTTTATTATTTAACAGAAAAAAAAAAGGAAAATGTGTTTGTTTAAAATAAAGAAAATGCTACTTATATGTTAACATATATTTTAATGCAACTCTGAAGTCAACAGAATACATCATTGCTGCAATTTATTGATCAATAATAATAATTAAGTTTAATATTTTAAGAATAATTGTGTAAAATAACAATTATTATTATTATTATTTATTTATTTAACAATTCATTTAACAAATAAAAAAAGTCCTATCAACAGTTAACTAGTATTGAGTTTCCTCTATGCTGCGAAAGGGCGTAAAATTTGTTTAAAAAATTATGTTCGATTATTGAATTGAACTTTCTGATCAATTTTCTATATTATAATTCATTAAAAAATTATTTCTTTTTATATAATGTAACAATCATATATAAATTTGTTTTCTTTTTTACAGAAAATATAATTTTTTTTTCTTTTCTCATTTAAAGCAAGCTCCATTATGTTAAAATTTTTTTAGATATCACTAAACAATTTTTTCCAATAAACTCGTTCCAATCTCGGTCTGTCAGAGATGCAACGTTGAAGATAAAAACTTGATATATAAATTTATAATTTAATAACATTTAAAAAATTGATTTTTTTTAATATAAATTTTATTTTAATTTTTTTAGTTTTGATGTGACTGGACGGATGATTCTCTGTCTGGAAATGTAATTTGATTCTTCTTCCAGTTTACAACTTGGCAGAAATGTGATCAGGCGAGCTTCCATGCATTACCTGTTTCGCTTATCTGTTAGTGAATATCCAATAGATTTCAACACATTCTTTAGTCTATATACAATAATTCTGGAAGTTGTCGGAAAGATATAATTATGTACACGTTTCGAAATTTATGAACTAAAATCTTAATTATTTCCTCCTGAACAGGCTGCCGAACATCCCCTTTCTTTTTGGCTTTTTGTCGGAGTGGGCCGCCAGTTCTCCTTCCGAAGAACCCTCCGAGGATGTCGTTCTCGATCTGTGGTCCACACTCAAGGGATACTGGTGCGACTGGTAGTTGGGTACGGAGTGTGCGGGTAACGACATGTGACGAGATGCGTGAGTGGACATTTCCGTGGCCGGATAGGACTGGAATTGCAAAAGATAGTATAGAAATTTTGATTGGTTATCATCACTAACATATTTAAATATCTGACAATTACATTAAATATTAACATTTCCTACAACTTACCTGCCTGTATGCTACAGGATCGTGAACATTTTTATCTTTAATGCGATATACTATTCAAAAATATATACATATATTGTTGTTATTAATATATGTTTAAAATAATAATAATAATAATAATAATAATAATTTAATTGCATAGCATAAATTTTTTGCATCAACTTAAAAGCTTTAGCAAAATTTAGAGAAACAAAGAAGAAAAAATGCTGCACGCAAAGCGAGCTTACGTTGATTTTCAGATTCGCCGTCGGAAGCAGCATGCCAATCTTCGTCGGAATCATTGTGATGCACAAAAGAGGGAGGGGGAGGATTGTGAGGGAGAGGCGGTGGTGCAGAATTAGAATGCAAAGCGATATCTATGGTAACAAAAAAATTCATTAAAAATATTAGCCATCAAATGCATTGTCAACCAGAATATATATAATTAACCTGCTCTTTAAACAAACTTAAATTAATGCCATAAGTTATTTTCTTATTTAGGCATGCAAGAACCTAAGTAACAAATCTGAATAAAAATTTATTCTGTAAATGCAAAGGCAAAATTTAAAGCAAATCCATCAATAGAGAGCATTTGACATTTATTTTGAATACAAAAGATAAAGTCGATAATGCCCCGTGGAAAACAATACAAGACCCCATTAAAATATAATAAGAAAACAAGTTGTTTGCTTGTGATTATTTTTTAATGGGGCCTTGTTGTTTGTTTGTTTATTTTGTATTTAATTAAAATAACTGATTTATTCATATTTTATTTTGTGTTAAAATTTATAAAATCAAAATAAACACTATGTTTTTCTGCATTTCTAGAGTTTGTAACAAAAAATCTCAATAATTACTAACACTACCTTGCTTCTGTTATGCAAATAATTGACATCAACTGATGTCTAAGATGAGCAATGGTGTATTTTTTTGAGTAGAATTTTTCACAATTTTTAAATTTTTAATTACTGATTTCCATTAAAATGTTTACAAAATCAAGGTTCTAAAATGTTTTATATAGGGAATTTACTGTCATATTTATAAAAATTTCTATTTTTATTTGGACATTTATTTCTCCGGTTGACTTAATTTGATCTCGCCAATTATACATCTATATTTTAAAATTAGTAAACGTAATAGTTTAAAATGATTTCGTATAGAATTAATACGATTACCAGAATCTACGCTATCTTCAGAATTCCTGTGTAATTGTGACCTTCCTTGATTATCATTGTTGATCATTCCATTATGGTTCGGATGTCCCGTAATCGTAAACGTTGTGAGAGTTTGATGATGCTCGTAATCAGAATTTCCTGAAATATATCAAAATTGTAAGCTAATTATATGAGAAAATTCTCTTTTAAAATAATTCTCTGTAATGTATGAATGTAATTTTTATACCGGATGGATAACTAGACCGTCCTTGGTTCTGAAACATCTGTATTCTGCTTCTGACTGATACTCTTTCGTCCTGAGTGTGAATTGAATCGGATACTGGCCTTGAAGGAAGAGTTGTTCTCGGAGGAATAGGAGGTTTAGACTTGTCTCTCATTTGTACAGCTTCGTCATATGGAGGTGGTTGTAAATGAGGTGGCTGTTGATCTTGCATAGTTCCAGATGGATGGGAAGACACAAAACCTGTAGTTCTTCTTTGTTCTGGAGATGATCCTTGACTGGATGTTGTAGAGAGCGTGTCGTGTGTTCTGTGGTCAGCAACGGGGGTACTGGTTGTGCTCCCCTCACTTCCGGCAGATGGAATAGATTTAGTTTGTTTTGAGTTTATAATATTGGTATTCTTATGAGTATCGTAGCTTAATAATTGCATACTGGGAGGTAGAGATGCATGGAATGAGAGTTTGTTTAACCATTCTTGCATGGAATTTTCATTTGGAGCCATAAAAAGAAATTCAGCACCATCTGATAACTGTATTCTAAATACATTTTTCTTCTTTATATAGTCTGTGGCTTTAGTACATTTAGCTTGGAGTAAATTAACGGGAGGAGCTGCTGCATTTTTATCGATAAATGCATCTTTATCTTTGAAAAAACATAATAGTTGACCACAAAGTACAGTGTAATAAGTTTTCCAAGATCTTATTGTTGCTTTTTTTCCACCACCTTGTAATTCTTGTTTACGTTCCAAAAATCCTTCGACTTCGACGGGTGGTAAATCTGCAGGCGTCCTTTGACGCCGAAGACTCGATCTTCTGATAGTGAAACTCGGGGTGCGCTTCGGTTTCTGATGTCTTTCGTCCAATTTAACGCTTTCTGCCCGTTTGACAGAACTGCTCTCTCTACGCGGCGAGAGTAAATCGATTCTCATACTTTCAACTCTCTTTACGATTCCGCTCTTATCGCCATCCAAAGATTTCTGACTAGCAGCTCTAAAAATTCCACCGGGTGGTCTAATTTCTGGCATTTCATGGGCAGGTTCGTCCCTCTTTCTTTCATTTTCACCATCAATATCAATAGGCCATTCTTCACCAGGTTTTTTGAATACTATTTCTTGAGTTCTCCTCCTCTCATCTTCTTTTCGTCTTTCCTAAAAATAAATAATGAAATTATTAATAGTTTATAAATTTTACTTCATTACTAAAAAAAAATTATATAATATAATCCTATATTAAGCTATAAATTCATAGAAAAAAACAATACTTTATCAGAACTTAACTAACATAATTTAAGCAAGAACCCATTTTCAGATACAATACGAATTCTAAAAATGTAAAACTCTGGGATGATTTGTACTTGTATAAATGCACTAATACATAAATTGTCAGTTATTTAATCTCCAGTAATGTTTTTCCACTTGTATATTTTCAGCAGTTTTCTTTCATTATAATTAAATGCAAATATCTAATAATTTTGTTTACTAGTAAATTAATATGACGATGATAATTAAGAAACGTGATACATTTGATATTTTTTCAAAAAATTAAATGAATCGCACGTAAATATTATGAAATTAATTAATTTCTTCTCCTCTTCAATTATAAATTACAAAAATAACTTTCATTATCTAATCAAACCTTTATCTAAATTCATAGAATTAAATAATAACAATTTTAGTTTGTTTCTCTAGATTTTTAATGCTACATTTAACAAGGTAATCACAATAAAAATGGCATTTATTTTTATAAAAATGTCTTCTTTTAAACAATTTAGGAGTGAAAACAAGAGAAGACTTTGAAATCATTATTTACTTCATAATAATGTTTAAATAAACTGGTAAAAAGATTTTAAAATATTATTTTTTACGAGAACATTTTGGTCTCGAATCTAAAGAGTAACTTCGTCCACTACATCAAAAGCATTTTACTTGTCACAATTGACAAGTAAATTAATAGAAAAAAAGCAAAATGTGATATCTTTCATTTTTTTTATTTATTTGTTAGTGTTATTGCAGAACAGATCAAACCCGAAACTACTGTTTCCTAGCTCGAAGGTGTCTTTTTGACTTTTTAACACAGATAGTTGGATTCGTAAAGTACGGAGTACGTCGTGAATATAATATGTAAAACTCTCTGCCGTATCCCAATTTCTCAACAATACCATGGTACTATAGGATATACACATCTAATTTATTCCAGAGATAATGAGATTTCAGTTATCCAAAGTGATATATAAGTGCATATTATATCATGATATAATTTGCAAATTAATGCACAAACATTCTTGCTAGTCATCAATTGATTGCAACTGTGATATAATAATTATTTCTAATAGTGGAGTTATTATTTATTGAATATTCCATTAGTATATATCACTTTACACTGTTAATTTAAAGGAGTTGGCAAAGAATTTATTTTATCTAAACATTTTTGGAATCCTTAATTTAAACTTTAGATCTATTATATTCAAACAAACTGATAGTGTAAATAAATAATAGTTTAGACAAACTAACCTCACAAAAAACACTACAAAATTTAAGTGTCTTGATTTACCTAAGCTTCTGATGAATATAGTATCCGACATATATAATACTTTAACAAAATATAATTAAAAAATAAGTAGAGAGGGTAGAGGAGAAAAATCTAAATATTGTCTGTTGAGGTCATCGTGTCTGTAACTTTAGCCTCTCAACACTCGGGTCCAAGGATTCATAGCATTTCTGTCTTTTTTTTTTGTTCACTGCAAGGTCTTGTGATGTTTCAATTAATAATTTTTCTATGACCCTTAGTGAGGCCATTCTAATGTTAGGATATATCAATTTTGTCTGAACCCAGCATACACAAACATCTCTAGATAAAGCTGCTTTTGATAATACTTAATGACAAAGATGTGGATGAAACTGCTCTATGTACATAGAATAAACTCCTCCCTGGTTCTTGTCTTTCCTCTTTTATGGAAATCTTATATACTACTTTTTTCAAGTCTAATACTGTTTCTCATTTCTAAGTCTATTATATAAGTACTGTACATATACATTAATATGGTCTAAAATCTCAATGTTACTAATTGTTAGTCTGCAAACACATGACAGGTACAGATAATCTTAACTCCAAAGATATTCTCAATAAGAACTTTGGTTTTTCAAAAACAAGCTCAGATTAGCATATTCAGACAATCACCACTTCAAAAACTGGAATTAATCGTATAAACAAAGTCAAACAACCAAAATCAGTGTAAATTAATTCTTAATAACAACATTAGTAATGTTCTTACACATCTTTGGGTAAAATACATATAAAGCAGGACCAAATAGACAGAATAAATTCAAATACAAATTCAGCTTAAAACTTCTTGCATTCAGATGCTTTGTATCAACAAGTATATTATCATCCTTTGGGTCCAACTCCTAAAACTTACTATTTTATATTTGAAGGTGGTCCTTTAAAGCAATAGGATGCATTATGATATTGCCATGGGTTTCTGAAGATTTCTCTTCTTTAATCAACATATCTAGATCTAGGTAATGCACAGAGGACTTGTTAATGTGATGTATTTCTAACACTAATTCCACTAGATTTGAATTGATCTTATCTAATAAACTCTATTTTCCTCTCTGATTTTTCCAAATAATGAGCAAATTATCTACATATTTGAATATTGTTAAGGCACTGTCTTTAAATTATTTTATAATCTTAGTTTCTGTATGCCATAAGCATAATTTTGCAAGATCACCATCAACTAATGATCCAATGGAAACACCTTTCCGCCCACCAGTAACCAAGTTGAACACTGGGAATTTGGTTATGGGTTAATGCCTCACCAGGACGATCTGGGCATGTGGAGTTTTCTGGGTTTTCTCTATGCCTGTAAAGCTTGAATAGGGGCCAGTAGCCCTTAAAAAGATCTCCAGGAAGGCATTCCCTATAGGCAGATCGCCCAAGTGTTGCGTTGCCTTAACTAAACAAACAAACAAAAGAAACACCTCTCATTTGTATACAATATTCATCTCCCAAAAAAATACAAAGTCAGAAGAGTAGACAGCCAAATTCAGGAACGTTGGTATAAACTTGCCCCATTTGGTATCAAATTTGTCATAAATAAATCTTAAAGTAAAGCTTCTAAATAGAGGAAAAAATAAAGGTTCTTGTAGTCTGTAACTAAAATATAGGTTCTTGTAGTTTATTGGCAATTTCTGCAAATCTTTGATTACGTGAATGGGTCCTACACCAATAAATGGGCAACTTTCTTTTCACCCATCAGTTGGATAGGCCATCTATCTTTGTATGTCTTTGAGGGACTGGAAAGAATGACTCTTGTGGAAGCTTTCTCTTCTGAATTTTTCAACTTTATTTACTATAAAACCTTCTTATTCTACAAAAGTTGGTACCATTATCATCAAATAAATACTTTAAAAAGTGCTTCTTGAGGAAACCAAATTCTTTAATTCATTGAAAAACATTTTTAGTTCTGTTCGAGCCATCCTCTGTTTCAAAATATACAGATTTGTTAAGGAATAATGGAATAAAAATATTTGAATTCCTTGTAGAAGTTTAAATATTTTATTCTATAATGGATTCATTAAAAATTATTTTTAAGATATTCTTCAATTGATGCAAGAACATTTTTTTTTAAATTTTACATTTAAAATATGACGTAAAACATGCTTAAATCAAAGTTAAAATTGAATAATCAATTAGACTACTGATCTAGAGTTGTTGTTTACTGCTGCACTTCAATTTGTCCAGTATTATTTTCCAATTATTGTTAAACACTGTTTCATCCTTACTGTTAATATACTTTTTATATGCAATAAGTATAAATTTGTTCTAATACCCTTAGGGGAAATCTTTCCTTATATTCTTGAATAAGAACTGGTTTGCTCCAACAAACTACTACTAGTATCCCATGCCCATTATGTGAGTGATGCAGTCATATTATATACATGATACTGCTGTTTTACCTGTTGGCATCCACAACCAATTCTAATGTAATAGTAATGTCATGTGTTTTGAGAGTCTAATAGCATAAATACCTGATTTTACCGGTTTGATCCTTATAATTTTTAATTACATTCATAATTGAAAGTCATCTTCTGACTGCTAATGTATAACTTGCTTTTTTTTTTTTTTTTTTTTTTTTGGTGTATTGTGCAGCTAGTGCTTTGTTTATCCTTAACTCTTTCTTAATTTTATATTGCTATGTCTTAATAATGTCTGCTATTACCCCTTTAGGAAAACCACATTCTAGTGTTAATCTTCATAAATTCTGTATTTCTATCCTCTTCCTTTGTAGTGTGTTCACTACTCTTTTTACTATCATCAAACCAGTGTATTTACTTGATAAAATAAAACCACTTCTGACTCCTTTAACAAAATGATATTTTTTTGATGTATGTAAATAATGAAGTCGTACAACTTAAAATTATTGGAGGGATATTGACAGGCCATAATAAATGGGTTGTCTTGTGTGGGGACTGCTGGTTGCCATCAATAATCAGTTCAAAAGTTATGCAAAACTATGAAGGCTAACAGATTCTTTCTGAATAATGTGTAGTCATTGGCATATTTTATTCATAATCTTGTTGATTGCTATATAATTAACTTTTTATCTATTTATTCCACCTACAAGGATTTAATGTCTTATATTCTGTGAAAAAGAGTTAATATTAAATGCTTAAATATTAAAAATAACCAATGAATCAATATACTCATTTACATCAAGTATCCTCTTATGTTCTTTGCGTTTCATAGCATCTACTCTTTCCTGTTCTTTCCGCTGGGCTTCTACTTTCTTATATTCTTCTTCCTCTTGCTTTTGTTTTGAGAATGCCTCTTCTATCTTAAAATAAAAATGTAATGATAAATGTCATACACTTTTATACATTTTACATATCTAATAATTAATTTATATTTGAAAAATCAACAGATTTACAAGGATACAAATAAACACTTGAAAAATCAATGAATTAATTCATCTATAATATTGAAGAATAGTTAAGAGAAATTATTATACAGTAAGTATATTTAAATATTACATTTTTTTTAGTCTATATGTTGCTTTTTTCCTACTGTTCATAGAAAAACTAAAGTACAACCCTGACAAAAACCTCAGACAGCATGTAATTTTTATCAATATCTAGCATATTCTTCAATAATATCAAACAAAAACATTTTGTACACTTATGATAGAAGTTTACTAATATATAATATATTGTAACTGAAGACTTTTACATAAAAAAAGTTATGTATTATTAACATGAAAAAGTATGTGCAACAAAAAATACTTTGGACAGTACATTAATATTTAATTATTTTACCTTTGGTTTATACAACAGCTTTCATATGAACATTTGACATATCAACAACCCTTGCACTCATTTGGAGTGATTTCATTCCAAATTTACTTTTTTTTTTTTCCTTTAACCATTCACACTTTCTCAATGCTTTTTAAATTCTACTCCACATGTTTTCTATAGGAGAAAGGTTGGGCTGCTCGATGGCCCATTTTTAATGTATTAATATTATATTGGGCCAGCTAAGCCTTGGTGGTTTTAGCAATATGGTAACTTGCACCATCCTGTTGGAAAATAAAATGTCTGTGATATTGTAATTTTTCTAATGATTACAAGTTTTACTCAAGGTTTGTCGGTATTTTGCTGCATTTACTGTTTTCTTGATGAAATACAAATTTCCCACACCTTGGGCTGACATGCAATCTCACACCATAACACTTGCTGGAAATTTTACAGTGTTGTAGACAGCCACAATGGGATGGCTCTCTTCATTTTCTAACGACTTTTTTCTATTGCCTCCAATGCAGACTTCAAACTTTGCCTCATCACTAAAAACAACTTGCTTCCACTGTTGTTGTGTTCAGCATTGGTTCTCTTTGGCCCACTTTAATCAGTTTTTTATTTGTGTTTTTGTGAGAAGTGGTTTTGCCTTTATCTAAGTTAGGGATCCCCAAACTTTTTATCCTGTCGACCCCTTTATAGAATATTTGCCTTCTTATTGACCCCCAGATTAAGTATTTAACAAAAACATTAAATCATTTTGGCATTTCTAATGTTAAGTGATAAGGAGTCCTACATAACAACCCAACAAAAGAATTTATAGTTCCCATATCTTTTATAAAATCCATCCAATAACATTAACAGAAAAAGGAGAACTTTTTCACTGATTTATGATCTTAAAAAATAATAGTAAAATTATGGATTGATGGAAATTTGCCTATAGTTCTTAAACTGTATGTGTCATAATAGGTAAAATACACACTTATCTTTGAAAACATAAGTTATATTGGATGAAAAAAACCTCTTACTGTCATTTTGCGACTACTACTGAATTCCTGAAAAATATGTTGACATGCCTTTTTATTAAAATAGTTTATATTAGTGGGATGGATAAGTCTGAAGACAAGCAGCAAGATTATTGATATGCGGTTGAAAATTGGTAAGTTTTAGTCACAAATCACCACAGTTTTCCAATTTCAATCTGTTCCTCTGTTTTGTCAAATTGCGTTCACGTGGCTAAAACCAGCTTCAACCATGTATGAAGTTGGGAATGCGAGTAAGAAAAGTTCGGCTTCTGCTCTGAGCTTGGGATATTTAGGGCAATATTGTTATTGCTCCAAAATTCACTGAGGTTTTCATTTTTAAACAACGCTTTAGCTTCAAATCTACACATATTTCACTCAGTTGATCTTCTAAGCCAGGTTAACTACCTTCATTATCTATTTTTACATCAAATGGATTAGCAAACCATTTGGAAACATGCATATTCTCCAAGTCTTCAAAACGTGCTTTAAAGTCTTCTCTTAATTTATCAAGATGTTTAATATATATCTCCAAATCACGGTCAGAAATCTTTTCATTTTCTTTTAGTACTTGCAAGTTTGAAAAATATTTAAAATCGGATCGTGCCAGTGAAGATTTAAATACAGTAGAGTGTCGTTTATCTGAAAGCCAGTTATCCGAAACGTCGGTTAACCGAAAGCATTCCAGTCGGCAAATTTAAATTTTCGCTAGTGCTCTGGAGCTGCAATCTTTGGCTATATCTTGGGCTACTCCAATATTTTTTGTTGGTGTGTGTTTTAGCTGGCAGCACTGGCACTTTTGTATGGTGTTTTTCTGAGCACTGTGTCTCGTGCTGAATCAAATGATTTTGATACTAGATCAACTTCTAAAGTATAATTTTTTTGGTTTTATATTTTTCAATATATTTATTTTGTTTGTAAAAAATAAAAAAATAATTTTTAACGATACNCAAACCAAAGCGTTGAATTTTCGTCGATGTTAAGCCTAACATAAACTTAACACACAACAACGGAGAAAAATTTCAACACACATAACACACACAACGGAGAAAAATTTCAACGTGGAATAGGTTAATATATTTTTCGTACATAATCGGTTATCCGAAAAATAAGTTATCCGAACAACCTCATTCCCCAATTGATTTGGATAAACGACGCCCTACTGTAGCTCCATTTTTACTTGAAAGGCCATAATGATTTTGTGAGCTTGAACAATTGTAACGTTTTTTCCTTGCAAATGCTTCTGTACTATATTAATGATTTTCGATATATTATGATATTTTCTCTGTGAAGGACAAAATATCTACATTTAGAGTGAAACCTAACTAGAGTGTAACAGTGCAACATACGTCTGTGATTAGTGAACTACCAGTGTTCATAACATGTTTGCAACACTAGTACAGTTGCCAGATGCGTGAAAACAGAGTAACACATGTTTAAAGCAGTGTAGGCTAAGGCAAAACTCAAGTTATAACTAGGGAAGTCAGTAATGTTGTTGATCATATCCCTATTTCGAATTTTTATTGGAATATTCTATTTTTTTCTTAGACAATTTAATTGATCCTCTTTGGTATTAGTCGACCCCCTTTCGACCCTCGTGTATTAATCGGCCCCTGGAGAACTCTTATCGACCACATGTCACAATTGTTTAGTAAAATTAATAATATTTTCTTATCCAATAGAAGCTTTAACCAAGTTTGTGCAGATGGATATAACAAATTTATTTTGTAACTTTATTCCATTCCTTCACTAATTCACTGGATGATGTACCTCAATTATTTTAATTATTTCATGAAGGTGCTTGTGTCAGTATTTGTTATAGTTGCTGGATGAATATTACTTCACATACATCAACACCCTGTATCATTTTTATTAAACAAATACATCTCAATAATAATAATATGGAAAAAACTGCAAATATCACGTGTCAGGACAAGTCATTTAATCTATTGTCTGAAGTATTTTTGGTCAGAGATGGCTCTATCTAAGCTTTTCTTCCCCCCTTTTTTTGTCTTAAATGCTTTTTTCCAACTGCACATAAAAAAATTTTCATGTTAACAATACATAAAAAAGTTATGTAAAAATCTTCAGTTATAATCAAAGTTTACTATAGTCCACGTAGGAAAAGAGTAGACACGAGTCTGTCTGAGTGTATGTCAGATGAAAGGAATGATATGAGAACTGTGATTAATGTGTCAGTTTAATTTTATTACTTACTCTTAATTCTAACATTTGTAAAAAAATAAAACAATAAAATTACTTATGTTAAAGATTGTATAAAAATGTTTAAGAAATGTTTTTTACATTGCTTAACACCTCTTCTGGCTGTTTTGTTAACTCCCAAGAGGTAGCCTCGTTCCATACCTTTTATCCGATATAGATTCTTCTAGTTTGGATTGATTCGTGTCTACTCTTTCACTGTGCAGACTATATTAATATAATACAAACATTTTGTATACTTATAATTATTTTATTTGATATTAATGAAGAATAAACCAGAAATTGATTAAAATGACATGCTGTTCAAGGTTATTTTTGTCAGGATTGTAGGATACACAAACCATGTTAAATGTTTATGTAACTACTTGTAATATTTCTGATATATATGATAAACTAATAATATAATGCCAATTGGTATATTCAATATTAGCATCATAAACATAAATTTGTAACACACACACAATAGTTCATAATACAGCTATCAAAAACAGAGCCCAAGTTAAAATCTATTATGAATTGCTACATATTTTAATAAATTTTAACTCTTAATACTTCCATAATAGTAATTTATATGTATTTGTTATAATCCAAGTCAGAAGCTAACTCCACAATTAATAAAAATATTAAATATAGAAAAAATTATTTAACTTTTTCATTATGAAGGGGGAGGCCAAATTTACTTTCCTGATTATACCAGTGTGCATAACAATATCAATGATTATTTGTAAAAGAAAATTAGCTACTAGTTATAATCAGTACAATAGAGCACCATTTATACTTCTCTCAAGGGACCAAGTTAAAATGATGTATAACAGAGACATCTGATTGAAACTTAAGTGAAAATGCACCACAAAATGACAGAACTAATAATTTTCATAAAATAGTATTATAGGTTTTGAATAAACCCTTGCTGAAAAAATGCAAAAGGTACTGTTTTGATATTATAGCTTTTAATGAATGTTTCAATATTTCTGCACATGTTGCATTGATAAGTATCTGAGTAGATACAGTTCACGCACTCAATAAATAACAATAAATTCTAAAATAAGTTTTATCTATTCAAGACTAAAATGTCCTTGTAACAACTAGTAATACTGCAACCATCTGATTACCACTATATTGTGATTGATTTACACTCATTAGCCAATAATCTTCAACTACTCCTCCTCTCTGAGAGACAGCATACTTGGATGAATCAATTTTATGCTATTTAATTCCAGAATATTAAGAGAGGAGGGGTATGAGAGTAGAACAAAGAAAATGACTCAGAATTTCTAGAAAACATTTATTATGGAATTTCATTTCTATTAATGAAGTATTTTATCATGAAAAGAGATTGTTTTATAATAAATTATAGAATGAATTGGTTATCAAAAAGTATAAATAATTATTATAATGCCACTTTGTATTACAGATTAGAAACTTCAAAATACTTTTACTGGTAGGTTAACTGTTCCCTTGTTGAGAAGTAACTATTGTGGGAATACATTTTTTTATGTTTGATTGTCATGGTTTCTGTATCACTTATTTTTACACTGAAAATATGAAAAATTAACTATAAATTTTATCAAAATAATTTTCATCTGCTACCAGTTCAGGAGAAAATTCTGGATGCTTCTTTGAACACTACATATACAACATATGATACATATGTTTTGACAATTTTTAGAGATTTCGAACAATTTATGAGAAATTTTGTTTGTGCCATTGTATCTGTGTGGATTTATCTTTCTTTTTATTTATATACTTTTCTATAAATCTGTTCAATTTCATTTGTTAAAATAAACTTTTATAGACTTTTTAAATTAATCTGTGACATCTGTTGCCAAAGACATAACACAATTTAACTTCAAGTTTAGTTATTTCCATTTTGGAAGTAATAAATACTATTTATTTGCTATGTGTACAGGGTGGGTGGAAAGTAACTAGGCATTGAGAAATCACTGTAATTTTTGTAATAATAATGCAATTATAATAAAATCTGCATGTACATTGATCAATGGAATTTTATAATTCCATTGATCAATGTACAATTCTTACATCGATGGTGTGGGCAGTGACCAAGACAGGCTACACTTGCAGTAGAAAAAAAGATGGCCAACTGCTTGTTTGTTTAGAGTGAGTGCAGATTTCTACACACTATGAGGTGTGAAAATCAGTGGCTGTTGTGAAGGGATGTCTTGCCACAATCCATCTATAAACAATCAAGAATTTTCATTCAAAGTTAAAATGACCACAGGTTTGGTTGCAGACATAGAAGTGGCATCCATCCACATGATCTGAGGAAAGTGTGTTGTTGATGGATTGCACCAGTGCCTATATTGAATTTTAATGTATACATCTGTATTTCAATTTAACAAAGTACACATCAAATAATTTTCATCATCATTGAATATATTTTCAGATTATATTATATTATTGTACTAGTATTACAAAATTTTTCTCCCCTATGCTCATGACTGTCAACAGAGTGGTAAGAAATTCTTTACTTCAATAGATATTATCAAATTTTAATTTCTACCAAAAGTATTACTAAGTATCTATTATAATTGAAAGTGCAAGGGTAAGCAGAATGTGATTACTGTTTTTGTTGTTCAGTATAATTGCAACAAGTCTTGCCATAAATACCAAATAGAAAATTTATATAATACTTACTTTGGTAATTCTTTTCAAAGCAAGAAATTTATCTTCCTGTGCTTCAATTGTTTTAAGGAAATCATCGTGTTTGCGAATTAATTCTTCCACGGCAGCTATAGACTCACCATACTGATTATCATTTAAAACTGGTTCACGACTTTGTAACCAAGAATCCAATTGTTCTGCATCTCGTTTAAATATCTAAACATCCAAAATTAACAAAAACTTAATTTGACAAGAAAGGAATAAATGATTTAATAGCCTTATGACTTAATTCTAAAATACCTGAGCATCCAGATTCTGTTCATAGAGAATTTGACGTTTCTCCCAAGTCTGAAATAATGTTTCTAGTGATGTATTTAATCTCTGTACTTTATCTTTTATTTCTTCGGCCATAAAATGTCCAGTATTAATAATTGCTTCTCCAGTTTCTTGAAAACGAACAAATGTTTCCAGTCTTGTATCAATTTCTGCTTTATGTTCTTTATGCCTGTTCAATAATGTTTCTGCACCAGCAACATCTTTTGCAAGATCATCTGATGTTATTAGGGCCATCATTTCATTTATCCAAGCCCTAAAATAAAATTTTAAGTATTATGTAATTTCTTCATTAAAAGTAAGTAAATATTTTTAATGAAGAAATTACATAAATAGTTTTGTTTTATACAACTTTGTATGTGAACATTAATGTTCTGAAGACAAAAACAAGTATAAACAAGATATAAGGCTTCAGTTTAACAGAGTAAGTATAAAATCTATTGCCATGATATATATATATATCATACATATATATATCCTATATATATATATATAAAATAAATCTAAGAAACAATAGTAATGCTTCTTAACCTGACTAACCCTATTATCTTTATTTCTAGAATTTTTTTCAAGGTAGTTATAGAAAAAAGATTTAACAGGAATCCAGATTAATACAGAAAATCTAGTAACTTAAATTGCAAACTTGAATATTCTAACTGCAATAAAAAAAAATTTTGTCTTAGCTGCATTATTTATTAGAATTAGCTGAGAATTATCAGTTATTAAGTCATATGTAAAAAATGTACATAGTTTGGGACCCCTGTTTTTAAACTATGGCATGCAATAAGGCTTTATCCAGTCTGCATTACTTTTAGACAATTATTACTTGCATTAAACAATTTAAACTGAAGCCAGGAAGTGTAAGTGATAGGGCCATATTAAAAACAGAGGTCCCATTTTCTTGAAAAATCCAAAGCATGGATTACTAACTGTTTTTAACTCAAGCAAACAACACACAATAATGTTTTCTTATCTGTACTTCCCAAAATAAATGATATTTGTAATGTATTTTATTTGTGTTCAATGTACTTTTTTTAATTTACATATATATGTAAATTAAAAAAAATACATTGAACACAAATGTTCATGGACAGGCTGGAGTGATATACATATATATCACTCCAGCCTGCTGCTATTGTCAGAATTAGTAAAGTGGTCCACTTCTTGAAAAGTTTGGGGACCCCTGGATTAGAATCTATTTTTTTATCATCCCATGCAATTAATTTTATAAAGCCAACAGGCTTTATAAAATTAATTGCATGGAATGATCAAAAATATAGACAAGATTTATCTGTAATTTCTCAACAAATACATCCAGCTTGTCCAGGCATTTATTAAAAGAATAATAAGTTTGCTCATCCTATCCTCAAAAAATTCCTGGCTGTTTAGAGTTGATGATGAATCAAAATGTCTGCAGCAAACATCCACAGTTCTGATGTGCTGTCATTAAAGAGAATAAACTCGTGGTTAAGGAGTCCAGGATATTTTCTCCTAATAGTATTTTTCAAGTGTTTTAGCATATTGCAATACAAAGTAGTATTAATAATACGTCCATGTTGCAAAAAACTCCTCCAAAATCAAACCCATTGAGTCCTGACAGATGGTATCACCTTAAAATTCCATGTTCTTAGTGCTATTTACCAAGCATGAGATGTTTCCATTCCATAGAAGCAGCACCATGGTAGGTATAAAACAAATGGATCCATGTCTTGTTATCTGTAACAATTTACAGGAGAAAATAATCTTCCAAGAAATTTCAAGAAATAAAGACATGCCATCATTCAGTGAGCTTTGTTGCCAGTTTTTAATGCACATGTAACCCCACCATACACAGATACTATTGTATTGAAAGTCATCATGCCAGGCCAAGTTAGTAGGAACATCACTTTATGGCAAATTATCTATCATGTTTGATCATGCAGTTTGCTAATTCTTGTGGAATCGACTTCTGTTGTTAAACAGTTTAGATGCCGACTGCAGCTTTCATCACTCACAAGTTTTTAAATGGAAGAGAATAGTAGAATTTTATACTGATCCCTAGTTCTAGGGATCAGTATAAACTGATCTGAAATGCATATAAATAAAAATCTGTGAATTAATATTGCCTGATGAGTGATTCTTGACCTCTGGTGAATGTCAGATTGGAAGGACATAACAAATTTATTTATTTGCCTACAAACCTTTTTTGTGGTTATAAAAATAAAAGATTGTATCTGGCAAATATTGCTGATATTAGCTTTATCTAGTTATCTAAAATCTGAATTAATTCTAGCTGGTAGATTTTTTTGGCTAAAATTAACTAGTGCTAAATTATATTTCATCAATTTAATGTTTTAACATAACTCACATTAATTCTCTAAATTCATCAAAGTATGCTTGTAATTTTTCTGCTTGATGCAATTTATCTTTTTTCTGTGCAGATTTTTCTAAAAGTTGATTCCATGTTTCTGCAACTTCTTCATGTTTAGCATCAATGTGTTCTTTTGCATCCGGAAATTGAGCAGCTAAACGGCGGGCTTCTTCTACAAGAGCAACAACTTGTTCTTTTACAGCAGCGAGGTCTCTCTGTTAAAATAATTATAATTATAAGTGAAAAACTATAAACAATGAAACATATACATTGAAATATGATGTGTAAATGTTTCTTTTCCTACATAATATGCACATAAACACAAATCTACAGATATTATTATATATAAACATTCCACTTACTTCAAAACCTTCATGATGACGAAGTAAAGCTTGAATACTTTCCAGATCATGACCATAATCTTCACTGGATAAAACAGCATCTTTTTCATGGATCCAACTAATTGTTTCATCTGCACTACGATCAAATGTATGGACTTGTTTAGCACCAGCTAATGCCTGAAATTTTAGAAATATAAATAAAAAGCTATAGAGTAAAAAAAAATTAAGATAAGTCTAAAAGCAACAAAAATATGGAAGAGAATCTTCAAACTTTTTAAATGTAATGAAATAATGAACTTGTATTGTTTATGATTAATCTAAAAAATCTGAGTAATTTTTATCATTATGCAAACAAAATACTAATTATACAAGTTTTCAAAACTTTCTATAGCATCAAAGTCTCTGACTATAAACAAAGCATGATTATATAACATGGAACTCCATGTTATATGAAAACAGAAAGTAATAAATTAAGTTATTGTTTTGGTTAAGCTCTACAATACCTAGAAATGAAACTAGATAATTAGTTTAAGCTTTAGCAATTGCTAAAATGTTGCAAATTATTTTAAAATAGATAGTTATTTTGATGCTTCTATTGCTCTATTAAGCAATTATTTGTAATTTATCATTTATATCATTTATAAAACATCTGTTGGTTAAATTATAACTGAAAACATTGTTCATATTTTCAGTTATAATTTACCCAATAACAGATACAGAACAGTTAAATAGCTTGCTTCCTGATTTTTAAGCTTTTTAACTGATGTTGCTTCATGCAAGATTTGTAGATCTTCCACTATGGCTTCACCTTATTGTGGTGAATGGGCTTGGTGGTCTTTATTGACATATCTCAGTGGAATCTTCGTTGCTTGAGATCTGTGGCACAATCCAATAAAGGAAGAAGGAGGACACCCATCAATTCCAAAGGGGATCCTCTTGGATCACCATATTATTACATATAGCTTTGCAGGCATTAACTAAGTTTTTTGTTTAATTTTTAGACTCCTGCATGGATAATAATAATCTTTTTTACACATTACATGTAAGGAGGAGAAGTTAGGAAAGAGCACCTGAACTTGTTCAGAGTATATAACTAATCCTTTATCTCTTTCTTTTAGGAGTATCTTGAGTTGGCAAGGAAGGTTGTTGTTGTATTTTTGCTAGCTCTATTTCTAAGATCTCTATTGATCCTGATCCTGTAATAAAGGAAAATACTCCATGGTGGAATATGGAGCTTAACAGGATGAGGAAAGAGGTAAGAAGGTGCAAAAAAAAATTCTGGAGAGAAGAGGACATTACTGAGGAGGAGCATAAGAGGCAAGAATACAAGGACAAATACAGGCAATATTAAAGGCTGATTAACACCAGTAGGTCTAAAGCCTGGCAAGAATTTTGCACTGAAAGGCCACCTAGACCAATTAAGTTTTCTCCACCCACACCAGTTTGGCTTCCAGAAAGGGAAAAGCANTTATTGTATCTATCTATCTCTTATTTACATTATCTGTAATAATCTTAAGTTAGCCACTTTATTGTCACTTTAAGTAATAGTTAGAGATTTTATTGTATTTAAACATTGTATTTATTTTATATTCTTTTTCTTTTGAACCCACATCTTGAAGATACCGAGATTGTTTATACATGGATCAAAGTGTAAGAGAAATTTGCCTATTTTTCCGATTTTAGGGACTTCCCTAATGATTTAGAGAATATTAATTAACAGCAATAAATCTATAACATGCGAGGAAAAGGATGAGAGGACAATTAAATAATTAAATAAGTTTGTAAGAGAATAAAACTTAAAAAAAGTGGAAAAACACCACTTCATGCCCCCCCGCCGATCATAGCAGAGATCGGACATCGTTTCAGGGCACAACAGTAACCAAAACAAGCGATGAATAATGATGAGATTTGTCAGTAAAAACAGTTTTGCTTCTGTAATGACTCGGCTCAAAAGTCAAACCAATACGATAGTAAGCCATATCATAACTCTCCTGTGCTGAAAAGCATATAAAAGAGACATAAATCCAGACAAAGACAGAGCTCCTTGGCAGACAACGGTAGAAAGTACCGGCCTCTCCAGACTCTCAACGAACCATCCCATACCAGGAAGGCATCAGCGGCGGACATCAGCAGTAGACTTGAGTGAACCTATCCCGCCATAATCGCAAGGAAATTCCATTTCGAAGCGAACGCCATTTACCGGCAGACATCAGTGAAGGACCAAGCAAAAAGGAAGAAAGAACTAGATCAGGAGACTGACTGGACTTACAAGAGAAGACGGCTCTCTTTTTCCTGGTATGTTGTAGTTCGGATACCCTCCCTGTTAGGCAGCCCTCTCGTTTTATAGATAGAAATAGGCAGATTTCTTGAATCGGATCTTAAGAGTGTTATGCAGAACATAATTTTTGAAAATAAACTCTTGTTATTTGTATTTGACTTTGCATTCATCCTCCTGAGAGGCTCATTCCCGGACTTCAGAGTGACTCTTACCCTCGCGCCTTAACTATCGATTTTGACTGAATCGGCGGTGTGTCCGACAAAACACACCTGGTGGCAGGACCCTACCCTACTCTAACGTAAACTAACTTTTGACGGCCGCTGGTCCCCACAGGAGGAGCATAAGAGGCAAGAATACAAGGACAAATACAGGCAATATTAAAGGCTGATTAACACCAGTAGGTCTAAAGCCTGGCAAGAATTTTGCACTGAAAGGCCACCTAGACCAATTAAGTTTTCTCCACCCACACCAGTTTGGCTTCCAGAAAGGGAAAAGCACAGTGAATGCCCCGGATAACTTGATTGAATACATAAATACCGCCAAAAAGGCAAGTAATCATACTCTCCTAGTAGCAATCGACTTCAAGGGAGCCTTTGACCATGCCTGGTGGCCAGAGATTCTACACCAGCTTAGCAATGCCAACTATCCACGCAACCTTTCTAGGATTATTCAAAGCTACTTAAAAGACTGCTGTGTGGCCATTTATAGCAAGAATAGGCTGGTGCATACTCTTCCAATAAATAGGGGCTGCCCACAAGGTTCAAAGTCAGGACCCCTGTTATGGAACATCCTTTATAACAGCCTCCTTAACATGCAGGATGGAAAGCCTAATAACACCAGTATACAAGGCTATGTGGACAACACGATCGTGGTAATGTCCCACCCAAATCAGGAAAAGCTACAGGAGTCCATGAACAATCTTCTCACCCAAATTCACGACTGAAGCATGAGCATAAACCTCCGGATAGACTACAATAAGTGTAACACCATAGTCTTTCCAAAAGGAAACCCCCTGAAAAAAGCCCCATCAATAAAAATCAACGGTCACCACATCAAGCATTCCAACTGAATAAAATACCTAGGACTCCTAATAGACCATAAGCTGCTCTGGAAAGAGCATGTATATTAAGCATATGAGAAGGCCACAAAAGCTGCATGTGCTCTGGCCTCCATATGTAGGAACAAATGAGGCCTGAACTATATATAAGGCAAGGAAGACCATATACCTTATGGTCACTCAGCAAATCACAACCTATGATTGTGAGGTTTGGGGATAGAGTGGGAGTGGTTCGCGTAAGGTGGAAACTTAGCTCCCTACAGCGGCTTTCTAGCCATAGCAAACTTCCTGGTGATTGATTTACATATTCAATGTATAAATCTCCACCATACTCTGAAACGACTGTGTTGCAAGGAGTTGACCAGAGAGAGCTTCAATGCCAGGATGACATGGATTGACAAAGGGGACAGCATAGCAAAACTGATGGACTTTCTAATAGAAAAGGGTATCAATAGGACTGGTAGTAGCAGGCATCTGCACCCAGCCATTGGACCCAGCTGTGAGATCCTCCTGGAGGTGGTGTCCCCCACACTGCAGGGGTCGGTGTCTTCGCCAATGGGTACCGGAGGCTCATTTGTGGTGTATGGCCAGGGTGGTAAGGTTCTCCCCCAACAGTACTTCAGGTTAGACAATCACCATAGTAACAACCAAGCAGAGTCTCTGGCCATCTTAAAGGCACTCAAGTACATCCAGAAGATGCCTGGATTCAGTAATGTTAAGATAAAAATCATAATGGGTAGTAAGGTGGCATTACATCAAATTAATAAGTATAACGTTAACCTCCCAATAGTAAATGACATCATCAGTACATTGGCTTCCTTGGATTGTGCATTGGACACCACAATGGCATGGATAAAAGGTCATTCTGGCAGCAAGGAATGATCATGCAAACTTCCTTGCTAGAAAGACGATCTCCAACATAAATTCAAGTGCTTACTCTAGCGTCCCAGTCAGTTGGATTATTAAGCAACTGCACAGCTACTTTCTTAGCTGCTGGCAACATCAATGGGATAATAGTTTCACTGGCAGGACCATGCACAGTTTCCTTCTATTGCTGGAGGAAAGGGCAAAGTTCTTCTACTTCACCCCATCCTATCAGCTTATTCAACTATTGACCAATCATGGCAACTTGTGTGCGTATCTGGCACGCTTCCTAAATAAGGGTAATGGGTACTGCCTGTCCTCTTGGGAAACTGGAGGATAATGCCCATCTCCTTTATAAGTGCCATCTCTATAACATGGAACAGAGTAGCCTCATCGTAGCAGTCTCAGCTGAACTCGAAGTGTGGCCATGTTCTCCAGACTTGTTCCTCAAAAACAAAGACATCTATAAAGTGCTTGTGGACTTTGACTGCACTGTTAGCTGAGAATTTTAATCTTATATACAAAGGTCTTCCCATGTGGTAATCAAAGGTACTGCTGCTGTTTACTATGTGGTAACTATGTTCAGCGATCTCTGGCATCAATTAAGATAAGGCTCATAAATTGTCGGGATCAATATGTTGTATACTGTTCTTCTCATTACACGTTTTGTAAGGGCTTAACTCCAAGTGTATTAAGCCATTAGTATGGTTCGGTAAATTGTCATGTATTCCTGATAATTCTGTATATATCCATTTGTTGTTTTGCTAGCTAGCAGCTTAGCAGCACTGATTATGTATGTCATTTGTGTTAAATTAATGGTCCCATCTTGACCCATGTGATCCCCCAACCACTTTTCTTCCTTCTCTCCTTCCTTCCTTTTGTTTTCCAAACTATGCTGAAAGGCCGTCATAACTATCAACTGTCCTGCTGATGTGTTAGCTTCATTTTATGGATGTGGACTCTTAATAAGACTATATTGTTTTTAATAGTAGGCTTCCTTGTAGACATTTGACTTTTTTCAGTTCATTTCAGCATTATCTGGGAGTATATTTGCATTTCTGGAAATTCTCTCATGCCAAGGCATGAGAGAATTTCCAGAAATGCAAATGCTAATTTACTGGCTAAGCAAGGTACTTCTTATTCTTTTAGTATTTTTTCTCTAGGAAAAAAAACCTGTAAAAGACCTAAATGACTAGAAATAGTCCAAACAATGGTGGAAACTCTTGGTCTGAAACAGAGTAAGGCATTTTTGCCTAGCTTGTCTTCTGTGCAAATTGTGAATTTTCTTGCTTATGAAAAGAATTATATTCACTTTTTAACTTGTTTTTGTCAATTTCATAAACACTTGTCTGAATAAGAATGCCCCTTGGTTTTTTCCTGCTTTTGTGCCTCTGGTGATATCTTTCTTTAAAAAGAAGTTAATAGATAACAGACCTCTGAAGCAAGTTTTTTTTTATGGGGAGTGCTTTATGGCCTTGCCTCCCCTACTTGTACAATCTACAAACTATGAATATAAATTTTTAATAAATATATTATTAATTCTGATATAAAAAATGTATTTAATACTGTATTTTATATATAATTTTTTAAAATTTACAAGAATCAAGAACTGCCAATATTAATTGTAATGAATGTATTTCTTAGAAAAATAGTTTTCAAATATAAGAAGATTATTTTAAAAACGATGAAGGATATATAAAGTAAAATTAATGTGAATTAAAGTCAAAACTTTTACATACTTCTTGTCGAGAATGGCTGCATTCTTTCAGTTCTTCCCACATATGTAATATTTCTGCATTTTTAGCTTTAATTTTTTCTATCTCTGGGTGATTTTCATTTATAAGAGATAAAGCAGTTGTTTTTACAGATGTAACTCTATCTTCATTTGAATCTAAACTTGTTAAAAATGCTTCAAATTTTTGAATCAATATCTGAAATTAAATACAATAAATTTTTATAATTTTTGCAACAGAATATTTCTCTGTAATATTATACATGCCTTAATGATTATTGTAATGAAATTAATATTAGAATTTTTTAATCTTACTTCGACATGCTCGACATCCTTTCCGTAGTCTTCCGAGCTGGCAATCGACATCTGTTCTTGTATCCAAGTAGCTACTTCATCTGCATCTCTTATAAATATAAAAAACTGTTTACTTTCTTGTAATCTTTTGTTTCTTTCTTCTGAAAGTGTTTTCATTGTTTGGTAACAAGCTTCTATTTCTGCCTATAATGTAAGAATCCTTTTTTATAGTTTTTGAAAATCAAACATATAAAAATGTTGGTTCGCATCAATGTTTACCTGCTTTTCTTTTATATTTTCGCTATCAAAATGGCCTCGTTCAATTAAACCTTGACTTAATTTTCCTAATCTTATAATATTGTTATTGAAATTTTCAATATCTCTTTCTAAAACATCCAATTTTTTCAATAAAGACTGAAAAATTAGAAAAGTATTTTAATGTTATTTTTTAGTTTTTTTATATTAATATAATTTTGAAAATCATATTTATAAACAATACTTGAACAGAAGCTTCATCTTTTCCACAATCAACACTTGTGAGAAATGGTTTTTTCTCTTTCATCCAAGCATCGACTTCACTGACTTCAGAATAAAACTTGAAATAATAAAATGATAATTTTATACATAAACATATATTTATACTACAAGAAACATTAACTAATTATATACCATTTGTGATTCTACAGCATCCAGTAATCTAAGCCTTCGAACACTAGATAAATCTTTCAACTGCTGGAAAGAAGACTGAAATTCTTGTAGTTTAGCTTCTACTTCTGTAGATGCAAAATGTCCATTCCTTATCATCTGACGACCCTTGCTGACTACCGTAGCAATTAATGGCTCGTGAGTATGAATTTCAGCTTCTAATACCTTAAATGAATAAATAATAAAAGGTTGTTATAAATTAAATAAATAACAATTAACATATCAATGTAATTGTACTTACTTGATGTTTTTTCTGCAAATTCTGAACAGATATTAAATTATTTCCAAGATCTGTAGACGATGCTAATGGCTCTTTTTCATTAATCCATGAAAGTTCATCTTCGATATCTCTATAAAACTGTTGCAATAATAAAGCATCTTCTAAATTTTCTCTACGAATCTGACCTGGTTCATGAAGTGTTTGATACCTGATAAGAGGTCAATATAATCTTTATATATTTATCATTCAGTATTATCAAAAGCTAGCTTTTTTAGAAATATATTTAAAATAATTCTTCAATATGCAATAGAAAATATCTGCAGGAGTTTATATCTCTTATTAGAGCTAATTTATTAAAGATGTCTGCAAAATTCTTTATGTAGATTAGATTTTTATTATTATTAATAATCATAATCTAAATACCTTTTTACAATATTTGAAGCTCTTTCTTCAATTTCCTCTTTCATAAAATGATTACTATTGTGAAAACTAGCTGCTAAGTCTTTCACCTGTTCAATACTTTCTGCATGATTATTAATATCCACTTCTAAAAGCTAAAATAAAATTCATATATTTTTAATACATTCAAAATATGTGAAATCTTCAGAGTTTTTTAAAAAATTATTTATCCTAACTTGATGTTTCTTTAATAAATTCTGCACAGAAGTCAGATTCTTCCCGTGATCTTCGGACTGCAATTGAGTTTCGACTTCGTCCATCCAGGCATCTATATCTTCTAACATCCGACTAAATTGAAGAGCCTTTTAAATAAATAAATTTATTTATTTGATATTTTGGGAAAACATAAAACTGAATCTATTATATAATTAAAATAATTTAGAAAAACAAATTTAGATAAAAGATAACTTGGTTTATTTACTGATAAATAAAATCTGCAACAAGACAAGAATATGAAATTATACTTTCAATATATTTCTAATCTACAGCATGGTAGGCAACAGGGAACCACCATGCATTTGTATCTCCCCAAGATTTGATTGACAGATGATTTCAAAAGAACTGTCCATCATCTGCAACCCTCTGTAAAGAGGATGCCATGGAATAGAATAGAATATTCCTTATAAAAAGAATATTTTAAAGTTTTAATAAATTCATTTTTTTTCAAATTTATCAAGGTGTGGTGACTTAAAAATAATTTCACTACTTTTCAATTTCACATGGAAAACTAATACACTTTGTAATGTTGCTATTCAATGTACTGTACATATCAATAAAAATCAAATATTTAATTCTTATTATTTTTTAAAAACTAGATAAAAAGTTCAGGTAAGGAGGAAAAAATCTTATTTCAATGTAGTTGTATTGATTTAATATTTATTATATCTGAATCTTTTTGATGAGTTAAACTCAGCATTGTCAAAGTAGTAGACCTAAAATCAACTTTTTGCTTAAGTCAGTATTACTGAACAAACCAGTTCTCAAAGCCAACCACTGCCATATGTTATCAGGCAAATTAATAGCTATTATATTAATACAGCATTTAATTAGCTCGATAGCACATGGAAGTGGTTGGCTTTGGTAATACAATGTATCTGGTTTTAGTAGAAATGTTCTGTCAGATCCATGTAATCTTTGAATCTTGTTTTATATGGCAATTTGAAGTAACTTGGCCTAAATGTGTTTCTAAAGACAATGTAATTTCTCATACTGATGACATGAAGACTTACCAAAACATTGCATTTAAGAACTCAGCAATTATGTTTAAATGTTAGAATGAAATTGTAAATAAAATTACACTTCTTAATATAATAGATGTCTTCTGTAACATAAAAATCAAAAGAAAAAATAATAAACAATACTTTTTATGCAATAAAGTATCTACAGTAAATTTAAATTGGTAATAAATAAAAATTTTAAAAATTTCTTTATAATTTTATTTCAGTACCTGATAGGCATCTTGTAAACGTTCTTTTTTTAGAGCTGCTTGATCCAATAATTGTCTCCACAACAACTCCAATTCTTGAAGCTGAGTTTGAATTTCAACAGATGCAAAATGACCAGTTCCTATCAACTTCTCTCCTTCATTAGAAACTGCATCAATTCTTCCTTTATTGGCTGCTAATTCTGCTTCGAATGCTGCATGCTTTTGTATTTTGCTCAGTAAATTTGTTGAATCACGATATGATTCATCTAAGGCAACCTGCATTTTTTCGTGTATCCATCCAACAACCTAAATTTACACATTATATTGATTTGAATTAATAAAAACTATATTAAAAAAAAAGGTTTTTATTTTAAACATAAATTACTAAATCATACTTCATAGATATTCCTGAGAAATTGTTGTAATTGTTTTGATTCTTTTAGTTTCTTCTGTCGAATCATGGCATTTTCCTTGAGGCGATCTCGGCGTTGACATATTGCCTGGCATCTGGTCTGTATAGAACTACTGTCGTAATGTTTATTTGCGATTAATTCGGTTGCAAATTTTTCAAGTTGATCTATCTTTTCTCTCTGGGCACTCATTGTTTTTTCAAAGTTATCATGTTTACGAATCAGAGCTTCTACACTTGACATTGAATCCTAAAATTTGTTTAAAAAAATAATTAAAGATAAAAATACCAATAGACTTCAAATTAAAATTTATTTTTCAACTTACTCCCAAATCTTCATTATTAAGAAAAGCTTCTTTACTAGCCAACCAGGAATCTGCTTGTTCTGCTTGTTCTTTGAACATCTTAAAAATATATCAAATATCTTAAAATTATCTTTTTATTATTGAAAATGAATTAAGTATAGAAAACAAATTAATGCATACCTGAAATTCATAGCATTGTGATAATATTTGTCGACGTTCTTCCCAGGCTTGAATTAACATGCGTCGTAGCTCTTCTAAATGTTGAACGTTTATCTTTAATGTCTCAGAAGCACTGTGTTTCTGCTGTATTAAACGATGACCAAAGTCTTTTAAAGAAGAAAAAGCTTCTTGTCTACCATCTATTTCAGCCTAAAAGATAAAATTTAGTATTTGGGTGATTTTTATATCATAAATATTATTGGCTTATTTATTAATAAGAATAAAGTGAAATATGCCCAAAAAGTGTATTTTAATCAAATATAAAAGATATATAGAATAAAATTTTCAATAAGACCATTATAATTTTTTTTCTGGTAAAGGCCAGTTTCCATTTGCACAGAACTGTTACAATAAAAATCCACAAGAATGTATCTGACCATTCAAATTACTTTGTATTGATAGTTTTTTTAATAAATGCTGCTGTTAAATATAACCTGATAAACAATAGGTACTCAACAATACTCTTGTAAATTTATCCCAGACATCTTTTAAACTAAAACTACATCAATAAGAATCAATGGATAGATTTTCCAGAATCTACTGTATAAGCAATTTAGTTTATAGTTATAAACCTCTAAAAAAAAACTGCATTTAGGTGAAGAATTTAACTTATGTATTTTTCAAAGTATTGAAATTCTCTCTATAATTTTTATCTTTACATAAATCCTCAAAAAAAAATTAAAAATGGTATTTATTAATGAAATAATTACAAGAAAGCAAATATACATAAAATTATATAAGAAAAACAGAAATAAATTAAAATTTAATATTCCACACTTAGAGATATATAATTTACTACTAGATAATTTAATTTCATATATGTATATAATTTAGGCTGATGAAATTTCAACAGAAAATGTCAAATTTTGATCAAGAATATGGTCAATTAAAATAAATATCAATTTACTTTTCGCTCTCGATGTAGTTGTAAGAGAGACTGAGCTTCTGCAATGTTGTTTGCGAGGTCGGCAGATGTCATTCGTTCGATCATATCATTCACCCAACATTCCTATTTTAAATAATAAATAACTTTTAATTTAATGACATAAAAATATTTTATTTAACAAAAATAATGAAGCTTTTTTCTTTCTAATTTATGATGATTTATTATAAACAAATTTACTAAGTTAAAAAGATCACAAATTATTTTAATAGTAATATCAAAAGCGCTCAGCAACTAAATAAAGAGAAACAAAACACCTTTTTTGCCGAGAAATAAATATAATTTTAAAAAACCAAACGTTTTCAGCCTAGTTAATAGGCCATCTTCAGGTCGAAAAATGGAACGAAAATGTTCCATGAATAGAACATAAAAATTTTTAAATCAAAAATTTTACAAGAGAAAAAAAATTTTTTTTTATTTAAAAATTTTTATGTGAAGATGGCCTGAAGATGGCCTATTAACTAGGCTGAAAACGTTTGGTTTTTTAAAATTATATTTATTTCTCGGCAAAAAAGGTGTTTTGTTTCTTTTATTTTAATAGTAATGAAAGTAGTAATAAATTTTCTTACTAATTCTTTGGAATCTGAAAGGAATTTATGTAGTGTATACGAACTAGCCAAACGCTGTTTCCTGCAAAAAATACAAATTATAAATGTGTATATAATGTATGCAATATATAATCATGAATTATTTTTTTTAGAAATTCAATAAAAAGATCTTGTTCTTATGAATTTTCTTGTTAATATCAACATTATACCTATTAAGACAAAGATTTGTTAGTTGTCTCCAGTTATCTTGTAGTTCAGACACTTTTACTCGAGTCGAAGCAGCCATATCCGGATACTTTTGCATTAAATGACGGGCTTCTGAATCATGTTCCTGTTAAATAAGAACTCGGTTATATAATTTTGTTAACGGGTAAAAATCATTATATTTAACAAATAAATGAATTAAAGATACAAACCCTTAATTTTGATTCAATTGCAGTCATATCACGTTCAATTGCTTCTTGTTTTCGTTGTAAAGTTTCAACAGCTTGTAAATCTTTACCTTCATCCTCAACAGATAACGAAAGAGACTGAAATTAAAAGTTTTCTATTAATTAATTTCATCAGCATTACAGTAATTATTACAAAATAATGATTCAAAATCCAATTTTTTTTTTATTATATTCTAATTTGGCACACAACATATTGTTTGAATTTTTAATTACAATATACAGGATAGTGCAGAAAAAATAATCTCAGTCTGAGTCTCTGGTGCTTGTGTATTGTTTGGAATGAATGAACTGCATCAGTTGAATGTAACATTGTGTTGAGTGAATGTTGATATCCTGTATTATGCAAATCCACAATACAAGAACTGAGCAACATCAGCTTCATGACTGCTGCCATTGATGCCACTATGTTATAGTGGATGTTCCTAAACACAATTTAATGTGTGACAGGTGACCACTTTAAACTATTCTATGATGAAGATACCAGCAGTTTGCACAATATTATGAGCGAACTGTGATATTACTTTACATTAATAGTACATAAATTTAACTTACTAATACTTTATAGATGATTATTTCTATAATTCAGGCTTAATTTACCATACAAGTGAATGTGTCAAAAACTGCTCCAAAAGTATAATAGATTTATATCATATTTTATATTTATTAAAGAATATTGATGATGATATCAAAAATGTAGTTTAATAATGTAATATACAGTGTAAAAATCTAGATAAGACATCCTTTAAGAAAATTCAACTGTGTCTAACTTAAAAAGATTTTTTAAAATTCTTTTATAGAAAAAATAACACATTTATATTTTACAGGATGTCCAGAAAAGTTATGTCACCTCCTGTTTTTGTAAAGATTTGGAATATATTAATTTATTGCATACACAAAAGAAAATGTCATAAAACAATTGATATCTTCCCCCTGAAAGTAACACCCATAACAAAACAAATAACATAATAAATAACAAATATATGACAGAACATAATTATGAGTTACAGCAGAGTCTGATAAGGTACCAAGCTGACTTAGATATTTTTCATGTGAAGATAAGAGCATTTTGTTTTCTCACACCAGATTATCACTGCATTTTTCAACTCTTCAGTTATCTGGTAGTGCTGCTGACTGACTGACTTCTTGATAAAGCTCCTTAAGGCATTGTAAAGTTGGAACTGGGAAAGAATATTTCATCGGCATCCATCTGTTTGGGAATAGTTTATCTAAGCATCCATGGCTTCATGATGAGAGTATTTTCTCTTCCGAAACTAGATTATCTCATCAAAACGTCTTGGCAAACTTGAAGCAGTAGCAGCTCTGCCTGGAACACATCTTATACTTTACTTATCCAGAACATTAGTATGGGCTTCATCATGATCATTATGAATTTCATACTGATGTTCTTGATAAGTAAAGTATAAGATATATTCTGGCATATTATAAAATAAATTATAAGAAAAGTAACCGAAAAATTACTTTTAGTAGTCATAACATATTCAAAAGAAAATTCATTTTTGATAAATTTACAAGAATGAAATGTATCAAAAATGAATTTTTTTTATAAGATATTATGATTATTAAATTTATTTACCTATCAATACAAGATCCAATACCATATACAGTTTATTTTCAATACATAAATCATTGTGTATATTTAAAGAATATATTGTTTCATTATAAAAGTCAAAATGAATTATAGAAATAGTAATTCTGTAATAACAAAAACATTTCCAAAAATGCTTTTTTATGGAACAAAAATAGAATAAAGGGCATGCAAGTATCATGAAATATTGAATAGAGAAATAGTATATTGTTAAAAAATAACTTGTAAATTTTAAATAACTGTTTTTTTAAAGAAAATATTAAAATGCTTGAGATAAGCAAGAAGTGAGGAAGCTTTTTGTAATCAGAAAGCTACATCCCATTTTAGAGAGGTCTCATAAGGCTGGATGTTGTATAACAAACTGCACAAGTGTATAGTGAATCTATACACTTGTGCAGTACCAAAAAATGTATACTTGTATATAATTTTTAGATGTTTTAATTGAAAAAAAGATGGAACATATGTTTTCATAACTGATAAGTTTAATTTTACTATAATGAATTTCATCATGCTGCTCTAGAAACTATGAAAGTCATAGAATGTTTATCCCACAGATGAGAAACTTATGTTTTACTCTGTACGAAAGCATTTTTAGAAAACAAATAAACTGAAATAATACTATATACTTAACAACCTTTTCATTGATTCTATCATTAGTATCGTCAACATCACGATTGAATGCATGAACTTCTAAGGCTCCTGCCAAATGCTTACGATATTCTTCGAGTGCCCCTTGTAAACCTCTCCATCTAAAAAGTATATTTTTATCAATATATAAACAAAACAAAACAAAANTGGTGGCAGGACCCTACCCTACTCTAATGTAAACTAACTTTTGACGGCCGCTGGTCCCCACAGGAGGAGCATAAGAGGCAAGAATACAAGGACAAATACAGGCAATATTAAAGGCTGATTAACACCAGTAGGTCTAAAGCCTGGCAAGAATTTTGCACTGAAAGGCCACCTAGACCAATTAAGTTTTCTCCACCCACACCAGTTTGGCTTCCAGAAAGGGAAAAGCACAGTGAATGCCCCGGATAACTTGATTGAATACATAAATACCGCCAAAAAGGCAAGTAATCATACTTTCCTAGTAGCAATCGACTTCAAGGGAGCCTTTGACCATGCCTGGTGGCCAGAGATTCTACACCAGCTTAGCAATGCCAACTATCCACGCAACCTTTCTAGGATTATTCAAAGCTACTTAAAAGACTGCTGTGTGGCCATTTATAGCAAGAATAGGCTGGTGCATACTCTTCCAATAAATAGGGGCTGCCCACAAGGTTCAAAGTCAGGACCCCTGTTATGGAACATCCTTTATAACAGCCTCTTTAAAGTGCAGGATGGAAAGCCTAATAACACCAGTATACAAGGCTATGTGGACAACACGATCGTGGTAATGTCCCACCCAAATCAGGAAAAGCTACAGGAGTCCATGAACAATCTTCTCACCCAAATTCACGACTGAAGCATGAGCATAAACCTCCGGATAGACTACAATAAGTGTAACACCATAGTCTTTCCAAAAGGAAACCCCCTGAAAAAAGCCCCATCAATAAAAATCAACGGTCACCACATCAAGCATTCCAACTGAATAAAATACCTAGGACTCCTAATAGACCATAAGCTGCTCTGGAAAGAGCATGTGTATTAAGCATATGAGAAGGCCACAAAAGCTGCATGTGCTCTGGCCTCCATATGTAGGAACAAATGAGGCCTGAACTATATATAAGGCAAGGAAGACCATATACCTTATGGTCACTCAGCAAATCACAACCTATGATTGTGAGGTTTGGGGATAGAGTGGGAGTGGTTCGCGTAAGGTGGAAACTTAGCTCCCTACAGCGGCTTTCTAGCCATAGCAAACTTCCTGGTGATTGATTTACATATTCAATGTATAAATCTCCACCATACTCTGAAACGACTGTGTTGCAAGGAGTTGACCAGAGAGAGCTTCAATGCCAGGATGACATGGATTGACAAAGGGGACAGCGTAGCAAAACTGATGGACTTTCTAATAGAAAAGGGTATCAATAGGACTGGTAGTAGCAGGCATCTGCACCCAGCCATTGGACCCAGCTGTGAGATCCTCCTGGAGGTGGTGTCCCCCACACTGCAGGGGTCGGTGTCTTCGCCAATGGGTACCGGAGGCTCATTTGTGGTGTATGGCCAGGGTGGTAAGGTTCTCCCCCAACAGTACTTCAGGTTAGACAATCACCATAGTAACAACCAAGCAGAGTCTCTGGCCATCTTAAAGGCACTCAAGTACATCCAGAAGATGCCTGGATTCAGTAATGTTAAGATAAAAATCATAATGGGTAGTAAGGTGGCATTACATCAAATTAATAAGTATAACGTTAACCTCCCAATAGTAAATGACATCATCAGTACATTGGCTTCCTTGGATTGTGCATTGGACACCACAATGGCATGGATAAAAGGTCATTCTGGCAGCAAGGAATGATCATGCAAACTTCCTTGCTAGAAAGACGATCTCCAACATAAATTCAAGTGCTTACTCTAGCGTCCCAGTCAGTTGGATTATTAAGCAACTGCACAGCTACTTTCTTAGCTGCTGGCAACATCAATGGGATAATAGTTTCACTGGCAGGACCATGCACAGTTTCCTTCTATTGCTGGAGGAAAGGGCAAAGTTCTTCTACTTCACCCCATCCTATCAGCTTACTCAACTATTGACCAATCATGGCAACTTGTGTGCGTATCTGGCACGCTTCCTAAATAAGGGTAATGGGTACTGCCTGTCCTCTTGGGAAACTGGAGGATAATGCCCATCTCCTTTATAAGTGCCATCTCTATAACATGGAACAGAGTAGCCTCATCGTAGCAGTCTCAGCTGAACTCGAAGTGTGGCCATGTTCTCCAGACTTGTTCCTCAAAAACAAAGACATCTATAAAGTGCTTGTGGACTTTGACTGCACTGTTAGCTGAGAATTTTAATCTTATATACAAAGGTCTTCCCATGTGGTAATCAAAGGTACTGCTGCTGTTTACTATGTGGTAACTATGTTCAGCGATCTCTGGCATCAATTAAGATAAGGCTCATAAATTGTCGGGATCAATATGTTGTATACTGTTCTTCTCATTACACGTTTTGTAAGGGCTTAACTCCAAGTGTATTAAGCCATTAGTATGGTTCGGTAAATTGTCATGTATTCCTGATAATTCTGTATATATCCATTTGTTGTTTTGCTAGCTAGCAGCTTAGCAGCACTGATTATGTATGTCATTTGTGTTAAATTAATGGTCCCATCTTGACCCATGTGATCCCCCAACCACTTTTCTTCCTTCTCTCCTTCCTTCCTTTTGTTTTCCAGACTATGCTGAAAGGCCGTCATAACTATCAACTGTCCTGCTGATGTGTTAGCTTCATTTTATGGATGTGGACTCTTAATAAGACTATATTGTTTTTAATAGTAGGCTTCCTTGTAGACATTTGACTTTTTTCAGTTCATTTCAGCATTATCTGGGAGTATATTTGCATTTCTGGAAATTCTCTCATGCCAAGGCATGAGAGAATTTCCAGAAATGCAAATGCTAATTTACTGGCTAAACAAGGTACTTCTTATTCTTTTAGTATTTTTTCTCTAGGAAAAAAAACCTGTAAAAGACCTAAATGACTAGAAATAGTCCAAACAATGGTGGAAACTCTTGGTCTGAAACAGAGTAAGGCATTTTTGCCTAGCTTGTCTTCTGTGCAAATTGTGAATTTTCTTGCTTATGAAAAGAATTATATTCACTTTTTAACTTGTTTTTGTCAATTTCATAAACACTTGTCTGAATAAGAATGCCCCTTGGTTTTTTCCTGCTTTTGTGCCTCTGGTGATATCTTTCTTTAAAAAGAAGTTAATAGATAACAGACCTCTGAAGCAAGTTTTTTTTTATGGGGAGTGCTTTATGGCCTTGCCTCCCCTACTTGTACAATCTACAAACTATGAATATAAATTTTTAATAAATATATTATTAATTCTGATATAAAAAATGTATTTAATACTGTATTTTATATATAATTTTTTAAAATTTACAAGAATCAAGAACTGCCAATATTAATTGTAACGAATGTATTTCTTAGAAAAATAGTTTTCAAATATAAGAAGATTATTTTAAAAACGATGAAGGATATATAAAGTAAAATTAATGTGAATTAAAGTCAAAACTTTTACATACTTCTTGTCGAGAATGGCTGCATTCTTTCAGTTCTTCCCACATATGTAATATTTCTGCATTTTTAGCTTTAATTTTTTCTATCTCTGGGTGATTTTCATTTATAAGAGATAAAGCAGTTGTTTTTACAGATGTAACTCTATCTTCATTTGAATCTAAACTTGTTAAAAATGCTTCAAATTTTTGAATCAATATCTGAAATTAAATACAATAAATTTTTATAATTTTTGCAACAGAATATTTCTCTGTAATATTATACATGCCTTAATGATTATTGTAATGAAATTAATATTAGAATTTTTTAATCTTACTTCGACATGCTCGACATCCTTTCCGTAGTCTTCCGAGCTGGCAATCGACATCTGTTCTTGTATCCAAGTAGCTACTTCATCTGCATCTCTTATAAATATAAAAAACTGTTTACTTTCTTGTAATCTTTTGTTTCTTTCTTCTGAAAGTGTTTTCATTGTTTGGTAACAAGCTTCTATTTCTGCCTATAATGTAAGAATCCTTTTTTATAGTTTTTGAAAATCAAACATATAAAAATGTTGGTTCGCATCAATGTTTACCTGCTTTTCTTTTATATTTTCGCTATCAAAATGGCCTCGTTCAATTAAACCTTGACTTAATTTTCCTAATCTTATAATATTGTTATTGAAATTTTCAATATCTCTTTCTAAAACATCCAATTTTTTCAATAAAGACTGAAAAATTAGAAAAGTATTTTAATGTTATTTTTTAGTTTTTTTATATTAATATAATTTTGAAAATCATATTTATAAACAATACTTGAACAGAAGCTTCATCTTTTCCACAATCAACACTTGTGAGAAATGGTTTTTTCTCTTTCATCCAAGCATCGACTTCACTGACTTCAGAATAAAACTTGAAATAATAAAATGATAATTTTATACATAAACATATATTTATACTACAAGAAACATTAACTAATTATATACCATTTGTGATTCTACAGCATCCAGTAATCTAAGCCTTCGAACACTAGATAAATCTTTCAACTGCTGGAAAGAAGACTGAAATTCTTGTAGTTTAGCTTCTACTTCTGTAGATGCAAAATGTCCATTCCTTATCATCTGACGACCCTTGCTGACTACCGTAGCAATTAATGGCTCGTGAGTATGAATTTCAGCTTCTAATACCTTAAATGAATAAATAATAAAAGGTTGTTATAAATTAAATAAATAACAATTAACATATCAATGTAATTGTACTTACTTGATGTTTTTTCTGCAAATTCTGAACAGATATTAAATTATTTCCAAGATCTGTAGACGATGCTAATGGCTCTTTTTCATTAATCCATGAAAGTTCATCTTCGATATCTCTATAAAACTGTTGCAATAATAAAGCATCTTCTAAATTTTCTCTACGAATCTGACCTGGTTCATGAAGTGTTTGATACCTGATAAGAGGTCAATATAATCTTTATATATTTATCATTCAGTATTATCAAAAGCTAGCTTTTTTAGAAATATATTTAAAATAATTCTTCAATATGCAATAGAAAATATCTGCAGGAGTTTATATCTCTTATTAGAGCTAATTT